ACCAAAAAAAAAAAAAAACCATTCTTCATTGTAACTAAAAAAATCCAAAGGAAGAACATGATAATCGGTCTAACATGCTCCTTCTCCGTTCTCCGGATGATGATCAGATGTTGCCGCTGCTGCCGCCGCCGCCTCTGAATAATAATACTCTTTGACGGCTTGAAGTGCAAGAAGCACGACGACCACAAGTGTGGCCCACTTGGCGTACCTGAACGCCAGCGCGATCGCCACATCAGCCAGCACGACCAACGAGAAATCACGAAACTTGAAGTTCACGAAACCCCCAACAAATTGAACAAGGCCATAAAGTGTATCGGACGAAGACCTTCTATCAAGACGAACTGTGCATCAAATTGTCTCCTTGGACCAAATAACCTATCCCCGAGCCCACGAACACGAGGCCCATGTCAGCCAGCTTCTTGGCCGGACAGCTCAGCTTCACGGGCTCGTCAAATCTACGGAAGAAGGTTACCATACCACAGTTAGGACATACATGTAGAAATCGTGGGGCCATAGTGGATTATATGTTTTGTTTACACGTGGAATTGCGAATGCATTTATATATAGGGAGTTCAAGATTTGATGATAAAAGGGACATAGTGGATTATATGTTTTTTTTTTTTTTTTTTTCCATAGATAATATATAAAACATATACAATAAGTACCTATATCAATGTATAAAAATAAAATAAATCAAATAATTTATTAGATAATTTTTTAAACACATCTCAATACAATATAAGTTAGTTAACGAATTGAGCTTATTAGTACTACTGTGATCCTAATGTGCGGTTGCACCTTGGACCAGCCGTTTAATTGATTTGTTCCTCGAAGACCTGCAAAATACGAACGATCAAGTCAGCAAATGGTTATAGAATATTGTTTATAAATAGAAGCAATGATATTGTATAGGGACGTGGTGAATTATATATATTTTTTTAATAGATCATATAAGACATGCAATAAGTACATATATAAATATATAAGAATAAAAATAAACAACTATTTTCTTAATCATTTTGAAACGCATTTCAAATACAACATAACTTAGTGAACGAAATGAACTTATTATTGTTACATATTGTGATCCCGATGTGTGGTTGCGCCTCCAACCGGCCCTCCAACTTCCTCCAAACGATTTTGTTTCCCGGAGACCTGCAAAATATACGACAAGTGTTTTTCGGCGTAAAATTTCCGACAATCAAATCAACAAAGGGTTATGAAATTTTGTATATAAACCTAAGCAATGATGTTGTAAAACTTATAGTGTAGAACCTTTTACTTTTTCATATCCATACCTATTTATAGCAATGTTTTGAAAATCAAACCAGTCATCGAACCGGTGAAGCTACCGGTTCAACTATTCACTGGTCGGATCAATGATCAAATCCGTCAAACCGATTTAATTAATATATATTTTTTACTTATTTTATAAGTATAATATATAATTGTATATATTTTTATCATTAAATTTATAATGTATAATGCCATTTCTCTAAATAACATTCCACTAATAGATATAACCAACAATATTTACTAATGCTGATAACTTTTTTTTATTTTATCAGTCATATTTTAATATATATTTAAGTTATAGAGAATAAATTTGTATTTTAATTTTTTAATCAGATTTTAAGTTTTTATTATTTTAGTTTTAGGCTTTTGGTTTTGATCAATTTTGGACTCCAAAGTCGACTCCTCAAAATTAATTAGATTTTTTTTTAATGAAATTAAAGTATTTTCTAAATTAAGTCACTTACTGCACCACAATTTAATAAACTAAAATTATTGGACATACAATAAGAATTTTTAGCTTATGCATATAATTTAATTACCGCCTTGGGACAGACCAACACCATCTAAATTGGGCATTTGAGTACATAACATTCACAATTGGTAGAATTACCAAGTAGTCCAAAGTAATATTATAGGCCCACGTCCTTATAAGCCCAAGCCCATACTAAATAGCAAAGAAAAAAAGATGTAAATCTCACATAGAAAGCACAAGAAAAAACATAATGCTATTTAAATGTTAGCTTCGGCTTCACCTTTGACAGCCCAAAACTAAACTGGTTGGTCGCAAAACGGTGTCGACTAATTGGTTTTCAATTGTTTCAAACGGTTCTAATTCAGTTTTGAGCACATGCGGTTTAATACCTCAAACCGGACCGGTGTGCTTGTTGGTTCTCGGTTGAACCAATCGGTTCGATTATTTGAACATTGATTGAACTTAGAGCATCCACGATACTTTAGGTTTAATCACAAAATTATATGCCACAAAAGAAATAGACTTAGTCTAAAAAAATATATTATCCCATGCAAATAAAAGTAAACTGGGTCCTGCTGATGTGACAACCAGAAAAAAAAAAAAAAAAAAATTGGTCTACCTTTAAGTGTATTCTAGACCTAAGTTGAGACCTAGTCTCTTTGCATGTGAGTTGATTTTGTTAATTGTACATATTTTTATTCATGTCATCTAATACTTGAGTTTATTTACAAGTCACTTAGGCAAGACTAAACTCAATGCATTGTAGATATACTCTTATGACTTGTTCAGCAAGTTTCGCTCTACTCAGTTGCTCGAAGGTCTGCTGGAGTGCCATAACTGCCCGAAAGTCTGCCTGACTGTTACCTTAGTGACCGTAAAGTCTAGATCCTTGCTCCACGTGCATGAGTAGGTCTATTCAATACATTGTCCATAGGTCCTTGATACATATAACCTATAGGTCTAGCACATCTAATTGTTAGCAGGTCTAACAATTAGTAAGTCCTCTAATCTACTTGTCCATAAGTCTACCAACATACTAGTTACAGGTCTTCTAGTTACACGTATTACGAGTAAGTCTTCCGACCTACTTGTCCTTATCTCGGACCTGCTGTGACCCGTGAGTTATTAAGAACTCATCATCTTTAACCAATCTGCTAGGTGTTAGAACCACATTACTCAAGCTAATCATGTCGACAAGCTTGCAGCCTTGCACGAGCTAAATGAGAGACGACTCCTCCAAACTAACTATTGCCGGTTCAACCGACCTACAACAATTAAGAGAGTAGTTGTTTATCAACTAAAAAAAAAAAAACTAATCAAACTCATATTTAACTAAACTTTAACCCACCTCCATCATCTCAAATATTATCAATATAATTAAATAACAACAACCAATCATTGTTATACATCACATGAATTTTAATTCACTATTCATCTAGTCACGTAGTTTTAACGAATCATCACTTCCAATAATTTATTTCTCATACTTTTACCACAAATCAACTTTAATTATTTTATTTTAAACAATATTTTAATATAAACTTAAATATCCACTAACAACTAATCATACTATATTTTTAAAAATTAACTATAATTAAAAAAAACTAGTTAAATTAAATCTATATTCAATCACACCCTAACAAACCGAGGGGAGCTCGAGTTCAAGTTCGACTCAATTTGTTTACACCAATAATCAATCATCATATCCATCATTAATATTACTAGGACTAATCCGAAGGAGGTGGACACTTTTTTCACCACAAGTTAGGTGAAAATTAAATATCATTTGGACAGCATCACGCGGTAAGAACGCAATTTTTTCCACGATTTGATTCGAGTTTTTCAGAAAATTTGAAATCTGACCCGCTTATGAATAAATGTCACGTTAAAAAACTTAAAACCCATAATTAACATTAAATGCCCAACATTTATTAGCATTTATATATGACCACCAAAACAAGTTGTAATACCACATTTCCCCCCCTTTCTTCATCGAGAGCCCCACCAAAGCTCCTCTGATCCACTGATAGCTCTCCCCCACCATTTTTTTTTCACTCTTATTTATTCACACTCTCGCCAAAACAGAAGCTTGGGCACAGATGTGTGTGTGTGTGTGTGTCTCTGTGTTTTGATTAATTAATTAATTAATTAATCAATTAATCATTTTCTTGATCTGTGAGCTGTGACTTGTGAAGGGAGAAAGTAGAATAATGGAAAACTCCACCTTTTTCTTGATCTGTGAACTGTGATGTGTGCTCTGCAGCTTTCTCTCTCTCTGAATTCGTGAAAACCTATGTTCCGCCATTGACGCCGCCTCGGTGACTCCCCAGCTCTCGATTCGAAAAGGGCCATTTTTTTTTATTTTTTTATTTTTTCTCAAATCTCTGGTCATTTCTGTTGTATCTGAACCTTTTGAAGTTCGTTAGCTGCTGGCTGGATTGAATTTGTTTTTGTTTGTGGAACGTTGTCGATTTTCTGTTGTGGGACTGGGATGTTGACTTGCATAGCGTGCTCGAAGCAGCTGAATACGAACGGATCTCTGCCGGAACCGCCGGAGGAGGATGAAAACGCCGACACGCCGTCGACCAAGCATGCTATCAAGGCCCTCACTACTCAGGTTTTGATTTGTTCTTCTATATTTATCATTTTTGGGTATCCCCTTTGTTTTATCTTTTTGAATTTTTGAGCGGGACAACCAAAAATCGCTGTAATTGGTAATGTCAACTTGGCCAACGGGTTTAGATATTCCTCATTAAACTGGGGTGTAATACAAATCTATCTGAAAACAATCATACAATTTGAATAATGTATTCTGGGTTTTTGTGTGTTGTGCTTGATTCAGATCAAGGGCATGGCAGTAAAGGCATCTGGTGCATACAAGAACTGCAAGCCATGCTCGGGATCGTCGAGCCGGGAACAAGGCCGGGACTACCTAGACTCGGATATTGGCTCAGTATCCGAGAGGTTTTACGGCTCGTACAGAAGAGCGGGCAGCTCCAACTCCACGCCTCGGCTGAGAGGAAAGGATTTGGAAGTCAAACTGAGAGCTCTTTCGAGTGGCTCAGCCACGCCAGCTTCAGTTAGCGGTAGAACTGAGTCTGTATTGTTCATGGAGGAAGATGAGCCAAAAGAATGGGTTGCGCAGGTTGAGCCCGGTGTGTTGATCACTTTTGTATCATTGCCGGAGGGTGGAAATGATCTGAAAAGGATCCGATTCAGGTAATACGCTTTCTTGATTTGGATGCCAGTTTCATTCTATATTTGAGTTGTGTTAGATTTTGGATTTTCATGTTCCAATTGAGATTACAGTAGTTCGAAGTTTTTTTTTTTTTTTTTTTTTAAGATTCCAGTTTGTATATGAAATATGAAAGTTGGGTTTTGTTTGATTCTTCATGGCTGGTGAAAATGAAATGTCATTACATATGTTGATTTGATTGGTGTCTTGATTATACGGAGCGGGATAAATTGCAATTTTTTATTTTTTGTAACAAGCAATTGTGGTCCATAAATTTTTCTAGGACATCTCACTTTAAGTCTGCCCATAACCGAAAACTGTATAGTTTGTTGAAAGTATCCTTGTAACTCGAGTGAGTTTCCTTGTTCACTGAGACGAATAATAGAGTACGGGTTATAGATGTTCAAATAAGGCAGAATTGGGTTGGATATCGGCATTTTCGGCTACAAATGTGGGACATGGACTTCTATGCAAATTCAATTCGGAGACCAAAGTGCACTATAGAAATTTTGTTTACCCTCAAAATTATTGAAGCGAAAACAGAAAAACCTGATGATTTTGATTCCTCGAAGACTGTTATGCTATTACTAGCCTGAATTTGCAATTATAGTCCTTGGTGGATGGTGAGGTTTGAGTATTTTTGGTTGTAGAGTGATGTAGTTGTATTGGGTGGGCATGTGAAGCCCCCACTGTTTCACAGTACACCCCAAATTCTGGAGGTGGCCCTTCTCTTAAGTGGTGGTCCTTATAGCAATTTGATTCTTTACTATTGCCTTATATATCATAATCAAATTTGAATCATGTTATCTCTGTTCAAATGAAGTCACACATGAACCTACGATATTCGAGAAGGGATTGGTGGCACTTGCCTTTAGTTGCTTAAGAGAACTGCAAAAAAAAAAAAAACATACTATTGAAGCACATTTTTATTTTTTGAAAAAAACAAAGGCATAACCAAATTTGATGCTCTTTTTCTGTCTTTCGGCCTTTTCCTTTTCATTTTTCCTTCTTATGTTTTAATTTTTTCTTTCTTTCTTTCTTGTAATAAGACCATGGAAATTCTTTGGATGTTTAATCTCGTGTTTGTTTGTAACAATTTGCCCACAGTGAGTCGGTTTCTATGAAAAAACTTTATCCCACTACCATAAAAATCTTTGAACACTTAAACCAAAAATTCTCTAAGTTCAAATTCTATGTTTGGCTAAAATATGTGTGTATTAATCCATCTGTTGGTGTGGAAAAATTGGGGCTCCTGTCTTGTATGACTGGATTAAACCAATGGGTAAGCACAAACTTATTTATATTCAGACATTGGAGTTATTGACATGTAAAACTTGTTTTCTTCTACTAAAACTGTTTAGCATTAACTTTTTTGTTGCCCCTCACTTTTCCCAGTGATATTGTGAAGGAACCATCTTATTTTACTCTTCAGAATATATTATGTAAACATAAAAAAGTACCAATGTGCCTTCTTTGTCATTGCAAAGGGATTTCAGAAGACAATGAAGTCATTCTCTACGTTTTTTTTTTCTTACTTTCTCTTCTTTTTACAGCCGAGACATTTTTAACAAATGGCAAGCTCAGAGGTGGTGGGCCGATAACTATGACAAAGTAATGGAATTGTACAATGTCCAGAGGTTTAATCGTCATGAAGCGCCTATGCCAACTCCTCCACGATCCGAAGATGAGGTATGATTTTACATACTTGTTTCTATAATTACCAAATGTCAATGAATTATGTAGTCATTCTATATTCATTGGGCTAATTAGATAAAATATCCCCTGAGGTTATCCTAATAATTCAAATAAATAATAATAAATATAATTCTCAAAATTACCTTAATACTTCATTAACTTTTGTTCTCTCTCTCTCTCTCTCTCTCTCTCTCTCTCTCTCAGGCCTCAAGACCTGAATCACTTGAGGAAAGCCCCACGACACCTCCACTCAGCAAAGAAAATCTACCTCGACATTTCCATCGAGCAACATCATCCGAGTCAGTTGAGAAACACAAAACGGTACAGTCTAGTCAGCATCATGCGCCAGCTGGACTCAATTCAACTCCCAAATTGTCCAGCATCAGCGCCGCCAGGGCTGAGGTGTCGTCTGTTGATGCCTCTGCACGGTCGAGCTCGTCAAGGGAGATCGACCACTCGGGAGAGCTCTCTGTTAGCAATGCCAGTGATTTAGAAAGTGAGTGGGTCGAGCAAGACGAGCCTGGAGTCTACATCACCATCAGGGCCTTGCCAGGTGGCGGTCGGGAGCTTAGGAGGGTGCGGTTCAGGTGGGTGGTTAATTACGAAATGACCCTAAGATTTAGCCTAATTACGAAAAAAAAAAAAATCTCCCAAATTGAAGTTTGTTTCCTTGAAGAAATGATCTTTTCTTTAGAATATAGTCTTTGAAAATTCTTTCTTCGCATTAATCCACAGCTGGTGATTCAAATTCTAGAGAAATTACATTTTGGTCATCTACCCATCCACATATCTAAAATTCTAAATGCAACCATAGGACTTCTGTATCGTGTGAACTCATTTCACTAGCCATGGATAGCTCAATTCCAGATTAATTCATCATACAAGCGCATGAAATATACCAGCTTTTTCCAATCCAAATTCTCTACAATTATTCTCGTTGGCAATAGAAGTATACAATTAACCATCGTTTGTTTTTCTGACATTGAATTTTCATTTCAGCCGAGAACGATTTGGAGAAATGCAGGCACGAGTATGGTGGGATGAGAACCGAGCCCGAATTCAACAACAATACCTGTGACCATTTACTCTGTATTTCTTCTTTTCACAAACAACTATCTTCGAGATTTAGCATTTTTACAAAAACTTCCTGTTATATTCCAATAAAGTTACAGATACCCTTAAACAACTTTTCATGATGGTGCAATTTGTAAAAGACAAACACAAACTTCAAGAGGGTATTATTTTGAAAGATAATCGACCATTTTTTTCCATGGGTATTTAGGCTAAATCTTGCGGGTAGATTGTTTTTTTCCCAGGTAATTAGGCTAAATAGGAATTCATGATGATCCAAAATGCTGCATATTGCTACAATCTTCTCTGTTACAAGTTTCACTCAGTAGCTTTTCTAACCTTTTTTTCTTTTACTTTCCCTGTTCTTTATCTATCCCTTCTATTCGTTTTAACCCTTTTCTAAGTAGCGTTCATTTGGTGTTATTCGACTCTTAAGTAGCGTGCGCTTGGTTTTCTTCCTTGGCGGGACGTAACAGTTTGTTGCATTAAAACGTTTCTTTTGAAGTTTTGATGTACCGTGGAACGATGTTTCAATGGGGAAAATGTGGTACTTATATCAAATTAGTTTGTGTAATTTACAGATTTTTTTTTTTTTTTTTACAGTTTTAATGATGAAGTGTAATGACATTTTTTATTTTCAGGACGAAATCGTGTTTATGTTAATGGTCAAATCGTGTCGAATAATGTTGTTGTCGTTGCATGAATACTTATTAACACCATGCATAGATTTTGATTAAATTATGTAAAATAAAATCTCATCAATTGCCCTTTTGTTTAATCCAGTTTTTTCATCTCAAAATTTTGAATTGTTTTAACAGTGAAGCTAATATCGAAATAATTCTTCAAATGATCACCTGTATTTTATCTTGTTTGTGCTTTTGAATAGCTGATAATAATAACAAATACGATAATCTAAATTAGATTAGATTATTAACATGCTAGACTAACTCCATACTTTTTAGCATAATCAAATTATACATTCGAAATACGAAATACTGAGTTACATAAAATTAACGGTTAAATAATCATATTTTTCAATAAATATTTATACTTCGAACCGGAAATGTCCTTAAGAAATTAATAATGAATTATACAAGGGTATTATTTGAAATTCAAAGGCAAATATCGAAATAACACTTCAAATAATCATTTGGATTTTATCTTGTTTATGCTTTTGAATAGTTGATAACAACGACAAATACGATAATCTAAATTAGATTAGATTAGTAACATGCTAACTTGCTAGAATCAAATTTCTAGAGTAACTCCATAATTTTAGCATAATCAAATCATACATACGAAATGCTAACGTTACATAAAATTAACGGTTCAATAATCATATTTTTCAATAAATATTTATACTTCGAAA